TGTCACCCCGTCATAGCATATTTTTCTATTTCAACGCTCTGTGGGGGGGGTATTGTCAAGTAGAGTTTTACATGAACGATACCAGAATACCCATCAGTTGAAGGACGCCATTCGGAGAGGCTTTACAACAGTCAACAAAGCACAGCTTCGTAAAATACAACACAGAACATGACGCCGCATCATTTTGTGGCACGAAAATGATGACGTTCAAACAGACCTTCTCGATGTATGACAGCGTCAATGAAAGTCAATAAACTGAATTCAGTACAAGTGCTTTGTATTACTGTATTACTTGTTCTTGTATTGTTCTTATTAATTTTTGTTAGTGAGTGACAAGATTTTCGGATCACACTGTAGGTTCACATATTCTTATAAACTTGTAAATATAAAATTATTCTTGTATATAAGCAATAAATAATATAATATAATATAATAAAAAGTGTTTAAATAGTTTTGCTGTCAATTCTAAAAAAAAAATTTTAATTTAAAAAAAACGTTAACTTAATGTAAAGTGTAGATGAAAACAAAAATCAAACTCCAGGGTGGTCCGAATGTCTTGTCATCCTTATTCAATATAATTTTCTTTTTCAGATCTCTGACACGAAAATGATAGTGTTCATACAGTCCTCGGTTTGTGACAGCGTCTATGAAAGTGAATAAACTAAATCCAGTACATGTGCTTTGTATTACTGTAGTACTATTGTTATTATTACGTTTTAGTATGGGGTGACAAGACTTTCGGACCACCCTGTATATTCAACGGCTGAGTGTCTCTGTATCTTTAACGTTTCGATGTACACTGTAACTGGAATTTGTGCTTTTTCTCCACCTTTTTTCTAACCTGTTTGTTTATAAAATTGATTTCACTCATTAAATTTGTCTGAGGAAGATTTTTTTTTCATCTTGTCATTGATTTACTCACCAAATCTAATGTAACATGACTTTATTTTTTCACTCATAAACTGCTTTTATTTGGTTAAGACGCGTCAGAAAGAAATTCAATTTTACAAATTTCAACTTTCTGCCCTTCCTTCTTTTTTCCTTTCGTCTTTCTTTCTCTCTCTTTTTCTCCTTCTTATTTTCATTCTATCCTCTCTCATTTTCTTTGTCTTCCTTTTATGTCTCTTCTTTCCTTCTTTTCTCTTTCACGTCTTCTTTTTTTCTTTCTCCTTTTATTTCTTTGCTTTCTTCGTTCGTCCGTCTCCTTCTTTCTTTCGTTCGTTCTTTCTTTCTTTCTTTCTTTCTTGCTTGCTTGCTTTTTTTCACTTCATTTATTTGAGTACAAAGCGTCAGAAAGAAATTAAAAGGCGACAATTTTGAACTTTGCAATACAGAGTAATCGTATATATACTTGTAAAATCTGCAGCTTTTCTGGAATATTGATATACGTCGGTCGAGTTAAAACTGGTACCAGGAAGTTTTTTTTTTGTTTATAAAGCACTCAGTATCTTTTGAATAACAATTATCTTAATAAAAGAACACGCAATTTTTAGTTTTCATGAAGAGACAATCTTCAATGCTAAATATGTATGAATTAATAATAGGCTTGTATTGTGCGCGCACCTTTGTGTATGCAGTGCGGGCAAGGTTGAAATGAACTGAAACGACGGGTTAGTTACAGCCAACCTGGATAAAGCTCACGTTCCGTTCTCTTTGTTAGCACTTGACATTTCGAGATTGGGGAAGGTCCGTTGTTTGCACTTAATTAGTAATTTCAAACAAGTACTCGTGTATCAGTCGAGATTTTAAAAATTAAACTTTTCACCTAAAATTTGATGTTGACCTATTCAACTGGACCAGTCGAGCTAGTACTAGGCCAGTAGGTAAATACTAACATTGACTGAAAATGTCAATTGTAGCTAACTAAAATAATAACAAAAAGAGCTTTTCGTGTATTTATAGACGAATTTACCGTGATTATCACTTTATAAACAACGCATCCATCTAGAAATCGACTTTTCTTTTACTAAATGTTCATCAAATTTAAGCCCCAAGAGTCACTTAACGTAGAGCGTTACTAAATGAGTTTTTTTTGTATTGACATAGTAAGGGGAAGTAAGTGAAGGTTATGAGGATACATATGATAGAGAGCGGTGGAAACTAGACTTGAGGAGGTTAAGGTTATAGTGTGCAAGGAAGCATCCCCTCCGGAGTCCGTTTCATAAAATAGCGGAACGTAGAAAGAATCTGCCCGACATGAATTTCCTTCTTATCAACGGATTACGAAAGGAATGAGTATGGTTCGCTAATGTGTACATAGCATGACGGGTCTTAGCTGAAAATGTCTGAGCTGGTGTAACTAGGAAATGTAGATTGTCTCTATTTCCATGGAAAATGTTCTGACAGAGTAGCAAGAGGCTGTAGGGAGGAAAATAATTCATCGCCTACAGGGCTACGGAGACGTTTTTGAACTCTGTCAAGTATAGAAAGTGAGGATTGGGCATCTTAAGTTCAGATATGGCAGCAATAGTCCATTTTTGGTCTGATCTGACCTTTGAGAAGAGAGAGCACGGCAGGGGGAGCCAGGCACTTTATGTTGTGCAGTAGAACTTGAATCCGACATGTGTAATGTAAGCCTTCTTATTTATGT